TGGCTGCCCCATCCCTAGAAACATTCAAGGTCAGGCTCTGAGCAACCTGATGTAGTTAAAAAGGTCCCTGTGCACTGCAGGGGGGCTGGACTAGATGACCTTTAGGGGTCCCTTCCAGCCCCACACATCCTGTGATTCCATGACACGCCATGGTTAGGCAGGAGGTCCCAGTTCTAACTCTGCTGAGGGCAGAGCCAGAGCCTTTCCTGACTTCTAAAAATGCCTTATGAAAGAAAAACACTGGAGATATTCTGGTTGGCACAACAGCTGCCACGTGCCCCCAGCATGGTGGTGGGTTCCAGCAGACAGGCTGGCAGCTGGGGGTTCCCTTCAAGAGGGCTGGGGAGCTGTGGTGCTTCACAGAGTCTTTGTGTCCCAGAAACTCCTCATCTCCTGGGGAGCTGATGCTGCCTGGCAGCCCAGCAACCACAGCAAAAAATGCTGATCTCCCCAGCTTCATCTCAAATGAAAATAATGCAATTAGCTGTCCTCCTTCCCAAACAGGCAGCAGCTGATGACTCTGAGGGCTCATGATTTCAGTGCAGTGAGCCAGCCTTCCTGCCATGGAAAGCTCTGCAAGTGCCTGTCTCCCACCTGGGGGTCTTGGAGCAGCCCCCCAGCTCGAGGCAGCTGCAGATGGGCTCCTTTCTCCCAGGGGTGCTGCTCCATGGCAGTCAAAGTCTTGTGCTTGGTACACACACACACATCACACTTCATCCCCAAACTGTCTCTGCAAAAGCCTTTCTGATGAGTTTATTTTGACAGTGTTGTTCCACCAACCTTACCATTTTCTCTGAGCCACTTTGAGAACAGCAGGTGTACAGCAAGGTGGAACCCTTAACTTCTTTGTCTCTGTCCTGCTTTCAGCTGGGAGAGAGTTAATTTTCTTCACAGGAACTGGTGCAGCACTGTGGTTTGGATTTGGGATGAGGAAAACGTTGGTTACACACTGATGCCTCAAAGCCTTTTCTGCTTCTCACACCACCCCAGCTGCTGGGGAACACAAGGAGCTGGGAGAGGACCCAGCTGGGGCAGCCAACCCCAACTGACCAAGGGAAAACCTGATTGAGATAAATTAGCACAGTATCAAAGTCAGAGATTGAGACTGGGAAGCAGCAAGCTCCCCATATTTACTGATACATTCCATTCCCAACAGAAGACACCTTTTTTTGACATCATCCTGATATGACCTAGAAGCACTTCTTTCTCTAAAATAACCAGAAGTGACAAATTATACCTGCCTGCAGGAATACAATCAAATTATCTCACTGTGATGCAAAAGATAACATGGCACTGAAAGCAATGATCAAAAAAAGTGTGTCATAGATCCAATTCCATTTTATAGGAGACTCAACCTTTATTTAAACAACCTACACCTTGGAGAATATTTCCAGGGCCTCTCCTCCTGCCTTGGTTTTAAATGAAGTTTAAAGTCAGAAGGTTCAAGGTCGTTTTTAAAACCTTTTTCCAAACCTTCCCTGATAAATATCCACGTTTCAATTAAGGCACAAAGTGAAGCAGCCACAGGACAAGCAGGGCACTTGGAGAAACTCCTTCCCAGGAAAAAAACCAAACTGTTTTAAACCAGACAGGAGCCAGAGAGTGAGCAGCAGGGGGAAAAAAAGCACAAAAACATTCCCCCAGCTCAGAATCCCCTTCCCCCAGAGCTGATTCCCCTCTTCCTGCCCCTGCCATCCCCACCTCATTGAACCAACAGTTTCCAGCAGAGCTGATGAACCTCTGTGGCATAAAACCCCCCTCCTCTTTGCCCAGATCAGCCCCTTCCCTCTGCTGGGGGCAATTTAAGGCTGTGGAAACACTGGCCTGTTGACAGGGCCCAGACTGAATGACCCAGGAAGGTTAGAACTGGATCCCTTTGCTTTCTAAGCTCCTGCTGCAATGGAGGAACCCAAGTGTGGCTGGATCCAGTCCTGGATGTGTCACAGCTCAGACTGGGCAGCCCAGGGAGGTTAGGACTGAACCCCCTTGCTTTCCAGACTTCCTTCAGAGAGGAGCCAGGTGTGGCTGGGCCCAAAATCCTTCTCTCAGACCTGCTCTTTTCCCAGAGACAGTAAATGTATTAATTACAGTCCAAGCAAAGGCTTGAGCATCCAATCCCCGTTGATCAGATTCAGGTGCAGCAACACACAAGGGCTGCTTATAACAAAGAACACATTTATTACACTGGTAATATTGAACAACCTAAACACAACCACCCACATATATATATATAAAGTAAGGAAAAGGGGATGAGAAGAAAAAGGTGAGAGGAGGGGAGAAAGAGATGACAAGAACAGGAAAACCACCAGTCCTGGATCCAGCATCATTGGTCCAGCCAACAGGGGAGGGTTGGTGTCCATGGTCAGTGATGATGAAACTCCCCCAGCCCACCCTTGCAGCCCCCTACTTTATAGGCCTAGAATCTTGATTTCACAACAAGCAGGTCCAGAGGGCTGGTCCCTCACACCTGTGCAGAGACCAAACCAATAACTCAATCCTGGATCACCGTTCCCCTGCTTTCCTCCCTAAATAACCAACAGAATCCCAGAGTGGTGGGGTTGGCAGAGAGCTCTGGAGATCACCCAGTCCAAACCCTGCCAGAGCAGGATCCCCTAGAGCAGATCCCACAGGAACACAGCCAGGTGGGGCTGGAATGTCTGCAGGGATGGAGACTCCACAGCCTCCCTGGGCAGCCTGGCCCAGGGCTCTGGGACCCTCACACTCAAGAAGGGTTTCCTCATCTCCAGCTTCAACCCCCTGGGCTCCAGTTTGTGCCCATTGCCCCTTGTCCTGTCCCTGGACACCCCTGAGCAGAGTCTGGCCCATCCTCCTGACACCCCCTGCAGATATTGATCAGCACTGAGCAGATCCCCCCTCAGGCTCCTTTTCTCCAGCTGAACAGCCCCAGCTCTCCCAGCCTTTCCTCACAGGCAGATGCTCCAGCCCCTGCAGCATCTCAGTGCCCTGTGCTGGGCTCTCTCCAGTAGTTCTTGTCCTTCTGGAACTGGGGAGCCCAGACCTGCCCCCAGGGCTGCAGGGGAGACCAGACTGTGCTCAGGGGTGTCCAGGGACAGGACAAGGGGCAATGGGCACAAACTGGGGCCCAGGAGGTTGAAGCTGGAGATGAGGAAACCCTTCTTGAGTGTGAGGGTCCCAGAGCCCTGGGCCAGGCTGCCCAGGGAGGCTGTGGAGTCTCCATCCCTGCAGACATTCCAGCCCCACCTGGCTGTGTTCCTGTGGGATCTGCTCTAGGGGATCCTGCTCTGGCAGGGGTTGGACTGGGTGATCTCCAGAGCTCCCTGCCAACCCCACCACTCTGGGATTCTGTGATGCTGTGACATTTTTTCACATAAGTGTCAGCTGTTTCAACAAAAGCATCAAGAAGGAAACACAGACATCATGCTATCCAGAATTCCTGGACTTCCCCAGGAATTGCAGCTCTGCTTTTACTGAAGTGAGATGTTATTTGGGGAAAGAGGACACTGTGTCACCTGCTTGATGTTATTCTGCTCAGGTATCCCTGCAGGTCAGGACTTGCTTTGAAAATGAAAGGCTGTATTTTCACTGCAAGGGGGTTGTTATCAGCTCCTCTCTCAGGTCTAAGCAGAAAATCATCAATATGCTCTCCTCTGTTTTGCCTTCAGTCTTTCCCAGAAATGATGAGTCAGCAAAAGCTTCTGAACGTGGCAGAGAGGAAAAAAACCTCCACGTTTGTATTGTCCCTACAAAATGAATGACTGAGATCCCTGTAACCCCAATTTGCTTCCTAGAAGAGGGTTAGAATGCTTGGGGAAATACCATGTAAAGTGTCAGGTTTTTACACAGGAGGGTTCCAGCTTTTCTTTTGTAGATGCAGCAAATCACTGGGGAAGATGCTAACCTGAGGATGCAGTCATGGAGGGAAAAAATAGGCAACAAAGCAAATAACATGTTGGGCTAAAAATGGGAAAGTAACTCACCTTTTCACTCCTGGATTAAGTGGTTTATTACTAAACTAGGATTCAATCCAAGTTTTCTGCATCTGTATTTTACACAGGTTGCCACTGTGAATTTATGGTGAAAATCCCTGATGTCCAGGTCCTGCCAGAGTTAGCAGAGGGAAGTGAGCATCTTAGGTTAGATATCAGCAAGAAATTATTCCCTGTGAGGGTGGTGAGAGCCTGGCCCAGGTTGCCCAGGGAAGCTGTGGCTGCCCCATCCCTGGCAGTGTTGAAGGGCAGGTTGGATGGGGCTTGGAGCAGCCTGGGCTGGTGGGAGGTGTCCCTGCCCATGCAGGGGGTTGGGACTGGATGGTCTTGAAGGTCCCTTCCAACCCAAACCAGCCTTCCATGGCTCTAGGATTCCCAGGCCTTTTCCCTCAGCAGTCAGTGCTGTGTGTGCCCATTCCTGGAGCAGGGTCAGGCTGCCCCAGGCAGCACTTTGGTCCCTGGCTCACCAGGGGGAAAGGGGTTCAGGCATCCTCTGTGCCACCCAGCCACAGGGCTGGGGACCTTCCCCTCTTCTATACACCAGCTTAGATGTAGTGCATGAGATGAAGAATTCTGGGCTTGTGCTGTTTCAGAAGGCTTAAAAGAGGGGAAGCAATAATCTTTCTCCCTAGCAACTGTAGTTTTTAACCCAAGCAGCATTTTGACCTATAAGGTCTGGTTTAAACCATCTTTGTACCATCACTGCACCAGTGCCCTGATGAATCCCTGCAGGCCTGAAGGTGTTAATCAATTACAATCTCACGTTAATGATTATTAGAATAATGGAGCTACTGGGGCTCTGGAACAGTTTTCTGATCAGATCCCACTTAAAATTAAACACCTTTTCAGTGTCAGTGCAATGATACTGGTTTTCATAATACTTGTGCTCACCTAAATGCAGCACTACTGACTCACAGCCTCTCTGAGCCTTGTTGGATCCTGGTGCTCCCAGTTGCCCCAGCAGGCAAATCCTCGATGCATTCCCAGTCACAAGCTGGGAAAACACACCAGTCCCAACTTTTTCTATGGCAGGAGGCACATAAAAGTCACCTACCTGCTCCAGCCCTTCAGTACGAATTGGAAGGACAGGGATAAACTGGAACACAACCAGGAGGCAAAGGTAGCAAGACTATAAAGAAATAAGCAGCTTCTGAAACCTGCTGCACGTGTGATGGCTCAGAAGAAACCAGCTGCTGGTGAATGAAAAGCAGAGAGTTCCTGAGCAGCACCGACCTCTGGCAGGCTCTTCAAAGCTGCTCAGCCCCGGGTCTGTCAGGAAGATCCACTGCCCTGAGACAGGCAGGCAGCACAGATGCACTTACATGATTTTTCTACAG